GGGAGATGAGGGTGGCTAAAATATATTCTGCAACCCTGTCTCCTCGTTGGCTACAAATTTCAACCCTCCGCATACATGCCTTCCCCTTCACCCGCTCGTAAAATCACGCGTTCTCGGTAGCATCGAGGAGGACTTCTCAGGACCGAAAAGAACTGAGGATTCGAATGGTCTCTGGAAAAGTACGTCGCAGAACTGATTAGGACTTACCAGGTCCATCTAGGTCTGGAGAGATCTTGAAAGACCTGTGTACGTCCAATCAGAACCAAATCCTCGACTCGGGTAACCGTTGATCAACAATCGAATAATGATCGACCATCGATCGACTAACGATCAAACATCGATCGACTAACCGTCGACAAGCAATCGACTGATGATCGACCAAGGATCAACCGACAATTAATCGGTCATCGACCGAGTAAATAAGTCGACAAATCGGGTCGCCATGGGGTAACCATCGATCGATCTGCCAAGAGCGATTGAATCTACGTCATAAAATCCACGTCATCCTCCCGTTATGGCGAATTTTTCGTCTCCATAAAATGGAATTTGAAAAAAAAGGAAAAGAGAATGCAAATAATTATATGAATAATTAAATTTTTATACGATGCTCGTTGAACATTTCGTAACTCATTAAGTTGTTGCCATCCCAGGATTCCGGAATTCCCCTTTATGAATCTTTGGGATATTTTGACGGAATGGTGAAACCTGTTTTTTCGTGAGAAAACGGAACGAGAACGAAATCGCATTCGCGATTTCGTCGATTGAAAATTTAAAAAAATATGATGTGACATCACAAACTAGAGACCCCCCTCTCTCCACTAATCGTGTGACGTAATATTTTAATGACCCCTAACCGTCGATTTAAATATCATTCAAGTCCTACGAACTTCGTCACGATTGTTTTTTAGAATTGGGAGACTCTCTTTGAATGCCTCGATCGTTTTGAAGTCCAATTTGATACCGCGAGTGGGATTTTTTAGAGTTGTGTTCAGAAAATCAGCCAGTGATAAATCACTTTCGTTGGCTGGCGGATGTACCATAATTGGAACGGTGGCATTAGGATTTCCATGCACGGTGCCCATTGAAATATCAGCCTCTATCATCATTATTTTCTCTGCAACGTGAACATTTATTATTATTAAACGGGGAAAATAATACATTAATTAACATTAATGAGTGATTATAATACGATTTATTCGTTAATTTTATTCAATTAAATTACCCTTTCAAAAAAAAAATGTTAAACAAACGAATTCAATAATTGGAATTTTGCACAATGTTTTTATCGTTAGAAATGAAAATTAAACAAAACGTATTGAAGAAAAAGTGGGAAAAATAAATTTCTCTTCTGTGAATGATGAAAAATTTATGAGTGATTCAAATTTCCTGGATTATTCTTGTGACGTTGTGAAGCAGTTTTTTTTTTAATTGAATATAACTTCGTGATTCATAATTTTATGAGACAAAAAACATTCTTGGAACTCGATTGGAGAGTGAACACTTCCGGATAAAGTATTTATAAATAATTTTATGTTTCTTTTATTGCTTCGGTGCACAACTCGTCATTTCCAAATGCTCATTTTTATTTATCAGAAATCACATATAGTGGATATTTATAGAAATTTATTGAAATTTCTATAAATACATTATTGAAGTCACATGAACAGTTGTGTGATAAATTAATAAAAAGAGATACTTCCGAAAATTCTGTTCAAACTCTTTTGCAAATATCTTGAAAACTAGTAGGTTTGGAAGGAAATATCAGAAGACTTTTTTTATAGCCAAGAAAATTTCCTATAAAAATGTCCATCGACGAAATCCTCTGTACCTCTTTCTTGCGGAGCTGACACTAAATCGATTCGAAAACATACTTCCAGAACCCAATTAATATTCTAAATTGAAAGCCTACATTTCATGAACTTGAATGGCTCTTTAAGTCAATCAATTCCACTAAAAATGAATTTATTTTTCAATAAATTTAACTCCAACAACAATTTAATGAAAACCCGAGTATTCGGTGAGGAAATGTGAATACATTTTTCATATCCTCATTTTCTCTTAATAAATGATCATCGGCTCGATTGCTCAATCCCTAAAAATCTTGAAAACAACTAGATTTGGAAAAAACAACACCAAAGGACCTTTTCGTATCCAATGAAACTCCAGAAAAACATCCATTAAAAAACGCATCAACTCATCAGTAAATTTAATGCCTGCAATTGGAATGGAAAAGAGCACGAGTATTCGTCGATGTCAACCCATTTATCACTTCCTTATTTTCATCGTAAAAACTTTATTAACTTCCGTATTGTTACCCACATTCATAAAGTCTTGATAAATTATCACGGAGGTGAAGGTTGACTCCCTAAACATCTCTAAAACTACTGGTGTTAGATGAACACATCAAGGAAACTTACCAATAAATTTTTTTTATTTTATATATTCAGTGATACGTCAAGTCACTCAGTCTCAATCGAAGTAAAAAAGAATTGATTCCTCAATGAATTTAACTCCAACAATTACAATCGAGTGAAAAGTCAAGTATTCCGTCAAGAAATCTCAACACATTTTTCACATCCTTATTTCCATCGCAAAAATTTTATTAACTTCTGCATTGTGACCCACGTTTGTGATGTCTCGATAAATTATCATCGACTTGATAGTTGAATTCTAAAAAATCCCAGGAACTACTCAGAGGAAACAAAATATTTTTTTGCAATCAATGAAATTCACTTATGCATTCATTTCAAATTTCAATTATGCGTTGAGTCATTGAATACAAATACAAATTAATTAATTCGTCCATAATTAAAATTTAATTTATTTTTTTATTTTTTCTGTAGCCAATGAAATTCACTTATACATTTCAATAATGAAGAGGTAAAACGATTTAAGTCGACTTATCTTCCAGTTGAATTTTTGAGGAATATTTCCGAATCTAAGGGAGATAGCGAAATTTTCGTAATTACATTTATTGTAGCTCTCAATCGGCTCTACAAAAAAGATTATAACAAAAAATTTGCTATGTCCCTTAGATTCCGAGATATTCATTGAAACCTAGTCAATAGTCAAAATTGACTTGTACCGTTTTACCACTTCGCTACTAATTTGTTTCAAACTCAAATAAAAATGAATGAATTCATCGATAATTTGAACAATTCAAATTGAATTAATTCATCAATAACTTAAATAATTTAAATTAAATTAATTCGTCAATCATGAAAATTAATCTTCATCAATTGTAATCGATTGAGAACTTCAGTATTCTCCGTGTGAAAATGTCAACACATCTTTCCCATTTTTATTGCCATCGTAAAAATTGTATCAACGCTCGTATTATCACCCAAGTTTATTCTGCCCCGATGAGTAACCATCGACTTACCATCAGCAAGTGCAGCAGCAAGTTCCTTTTTGCTATTAACCGCATGCGCCCACGTGATTTTCGTCAGATTTCCCTTGATTTTGTCGGCAAAAAAATCTCGCGGATCCGGGGATAGGGCGGCCATACTTGCACCTACATTAACAATTACATAACAACAGTTACTTCATTGACTTTATCCACCAAATGAGCGACAAAAATTACTTTTAATGACTAACGGTTAACACAAGGACTTTTGTTATCGGACAAGTGGTCGGTTGATGGGAACTGTGTACTGTCCGCAGATATTACTGGCCTGCGTATTGGTAACACTCTTTAGAACCGAGTTGCACACATATATTGTTGGAAAAGGCCTTCAACGCGGAAAGAATACGAAGCGGCCTTTGAGGAAAAAAGATACCGGCGACTTTTCAATTTTTTTTGCTGACGAAGAGACAATGGGATAGTGTTCATAAGTCTGCGAAAGTTCTTTGTCCTTTGTTTTTGAAGAATTTCTTCAATTAATGGAGACGGAGATCAAGAGATGAATCATTGTGGGAGCAATGTGAATCATGATGGGACAATTAAAGCCCTTCGGTAATTAAAACCGCAGTCGAGCTTTATCAGAGAGGGTTTTTATCAGTTTAGGACATTAGGGGAGATGGTTGTTCTTGGGGAATATGTCAGGGTTTTGGAGAATTCTTTATATGAGAATGGTTTTATAATTTTTGCTTCCGAGTGGAAGCCTTGCAAACGTTCAAATTTAAGTTTTGGATTTTTTGTGTTAGGGTAAACAGGTCGATTTCTAGTTCTATTGAATATTCCATAAATAATAAAATTTGTTTTGTAGTTTTCGGCCTCTGCGATCATTAGGTGATTCGAAGTGAAGGAATCTATTATGCCCAAATGATAAAAATTGATCCAGTCATTTGGATTAAGCCCAATGCGCGGTCCTCCTCAGCACAGAGAAAATTTTTTTAGAAAAATTCCAGTGCTAGCACAGGAAGAGAGGCGCAAAGTCACGGCCAGGAAAAAATTTCAGTGCCGGCATTAGAAATTTTATTGGGGAAAACGTGAATTTTTCCCCGTATTTCTGTGAAAATTTCAAAGAAATCCCCAGAAATTTTGCCAGAAATACCAAGAAATTTTACCTTAACAGCACTAGAATTTTTCACAACCGGTGGATTGTGATTTTTTCCAGTACTCGTACTAGAATTTTTCTAGAAAATTTCTCTCCGTGAGGGGCACCTTTATTGATGTCTCCAAACAAATCAAAATATATAAAGTAATCGACAGTTTAAAACCTACACGGAGAAAAAAATTGCAGAAAAATTACTGTGTCAGTTAAGGTAAAATGGGTTCGTTCAGACCCGATTGATCGAATGAACCGATTTTACCGTGCTACCACACTAATTTTTATGGAATTTTTTTCTCAGTGTATTGCGGACAAAACTGCAGGAATTATCAACCATATTACCTAACAAATATCTACAACATAAATAATAAAATGGAAATTGCACTGATTATTCAATTTTTCAATAATATTACTCGTGCAAAATCATTCAATTATTCAATTATTTTTTCTATTGATCGACATTTAATAAATAAAAAAAATATGGCCCTTTCGTCCAGAAATTAGGGTTTCGGGTTTCGGCTGCATTCAACTATTTCTTAATTTAATTATTCTTTGTTTTTTTATTTTGATTGCAAATAATTTTTGTCTGCTAATTGAAACATTCTTGAAGGTACAGAAGCCATCATATCCCCATTTAGGCGATTGTTTTATTTTAGATCCTACCACGAAACTCGAATTTCCCTTAACCGTTCAGCGATTGGGCTGTTCACCCCAGTTTCAGAGATTTTTCTACAAAATTGATTGACTGAGGAATTTATTAGTGGAGTAGACAACATCAAAGAACATGCATATTGCTTGCTGAAATATCTTGAGAATGAGTAGGTTTATAATTCTTTATGGGAATTTTTTGTGGTGAATTTCATGGGGTATAAAACGGTTTTATGATTTTTTTGTGAACCTGAGATATTTCCAGAGATATTTCGAGGAAATGAATGAGGAATTTAGTTATGGAAGGGAGAAAGATATGGATGAAGATTACGCGGAGAATATCTTCAGGGAGAATGGGATGAGATGAAGTTTTCAAAATGATCGACATTCAAAAAATTTGATTTTGAGGTAAAAATTGAGCAATTTACCAATTCTTCACTATAAAACGTCTGAGGCACGGACACATGTAAATATTTTGGCTTGAGTTTGGACACGTACGAAGAAATTTCGCAGAAAACCTAGCTAGTTGAAAAAATTTCACTACAAAATTCTATTGAACTTTCAATTAGTCTTTGGCCGATTCTATTGAAAAATTCCGCGGCTACAACTTTTCCTATTGAGATATTTTCTATAGAATGTTTCTATAGAAAATTTCATTCTATATAATTATATAATTTCTTTCTAGATAATTATATAAATTATATAATTAATTATTACAAAAATTATGTCGAGGAATTCCTACAGAGAATATCTCAATAGAAAAAGTTGTATAAAATAGTGAAATTCTATTGATTTCTATAGAATAATTTCTATTGGATATTTTTCATAAAAAAGCATGCAGGGAAGCTGCGAAATTAATTAATAGAATCAGCCAAAAACTGATAGAATTTTCAATGGAACTTAAATAGTAATTCAGTAGAATTTTCTCCCGAATTCGCTGAGTTTTTTCTATGAAATTTTTTCGAGCGTGGACTGTTTTTCCAAAGCTTCATGTTTCGCTGAGAATTGATTTTAAAAAACTTGAACAGTCAACTACTGTTCCAGTGAACGGATTTCACCTGCGCAATGTCAAAATTATCTCGATGAGTCACCACATGATAAACTATCAACGGACAACTCCGATGAGAGAGACTCCGATTTTCCACGCTCCGAAGGCCTCTCGACATTTTGCCCTGAAATGACTTGTCCTCGCGGTAAATTCATAATAAACAAATAACGAATTCCACAAATTCAAGTTTCACTCAACAATTTAGATAATTTCAAATGTATTCACCGCAAATAATGCGCGTTTTAAAAGTCGCGTCGCAACATATGTCTCCATATTGTTTCGTGAATTAAAACTAGAGATAACAACTCGCGATAGCATGCATCACGCCGTAATATTTGATTTTTTCTACAAAAGTTGAGTAAATTAATTTCAAAATTATTTCTATTAGACTTCGCAAGACAAACTATCAACCGACAGTTTCGATGGAAAATTTTCTACGCTCCAAAAGCCTCTTAACATTTTTCCTTGAAATGTCTCGTCCTCAAAATAAATTCATAATAAACGAGTTAAGGATTCCAAAAATTCAAGTTTCACTCAACAATTCAAATGATTTTAAATGTATTCACCGCAAATAATCCACGTTTTAAAAGTCGCATCGCAACATATGTCTCCATATTTTTTCGTGAATTAAAACTAGAGATAACTCGATAGCATGGATCACGCCGTAATATTTGATTTTTTCTACAAAAGTTGAATAAAATAATTTCAAAATTATTTCTATTAGGACAAACTATCAACCGATGGTTTCGATGAGAAATTTTCCACGCTCCAAAAGCCTCTTAACATTTTTCCTTGAAATGTCTCGTCCTCAAAATAAATTCGTAATAAACGAGTTAAGGACTCCAAAAATTCAAGTTTCACTCAACAATTCAAATAATTTTAAATGTATTCACCGCAAATAATCCACGTTTTAAAAGTCGCATCGCAACATATGTCTCCATATTTTTTCGTGAATTAAAACTAGAGATAACTCGATAGCATGGATCACGCCGTAATATTTGATTTTTTCTACAAAAGTTGAATAAAATAATTTCAAAATTATTTCTATTAGGACAAACTATCAACCGATGGTTTCGATGAGAAATTTTCCACGCTCCAAAAGCCTCTTAACATTTTTCCTTGAAATGTCTCGTCCTCAAAATAAATTCGTAATAAACGAGTTAAGGACTCCAAAAATTCAAGTTTCACTCAACAATTCAAATAATTTTAAATGTATTCACCGCAAATAATCCACGTTTTAAAAGTCGCATCGCAACATATGTCTCCATATTTTTTCGTGAATTAAAACTAGAGATAACTCGATAGCATGGATCACGCCGTAATATTTGATTTTTTCTACAAAAGTTGAATAAAATAACTTCAAAATTATTTGGATGAGTCACCGCAGGATAAATTATTAACCGACGGTTTCGATGGGAAATTTTCCAAGCTGGAAAGGCCCCTCAACATTTTCCCGTGAAATGGCTCGTCCTCAAAATAAATCAAGAGTAAACAACTAAAGAATAATAATAATTCAAGTCTCATTCAACAATCCAAATCATTTTAAATGTTTTCACTTTTGTTTTCACCGCGAATAATACGCATTTTAAAAGTCGCGTCGCAACATATGTCTCCATATTTTTTCGTGAATTAAAACTAGAGATAACAACTCGCGATAGCATGCATCACGCCGTAATATTTCAACTTTTCTACAGAAGTCGAGTAAATTAATTTCAAAATTATTTCTATTAGTTTTCGCAAGACAAACTGTCAACCGCCAGTTTCGATGGAAAATTTTCCACGCTCCAAAAGCCTCTTGACATTTTTCCTTGAAGTGATTCGTCCTCGAAATCAATTCACAATAAACGAGTGAAGGATTCCAAAAATTCAGGTTTCACTCAACAATTCCATTAATTTCAAATGTTTTCACCGCAAATAATGCGCGTTTTCCTACTCTTCTGGCACCACATGTGCCCATATTTTTCATGAATTATTACTACAGATAACAATTCGCGATAGCATGCATAACGCTGCAATACTTGAATTTTTCAACGAAACTTGAATAAAGTATATTTGTTCATTTGAGATGGATTATTTATAAAGCTGTTCGCAACTCACAGCAGAGGCAGGCGAAGAAAAGAACAGGTAAAATCGAATCCAATGCCATGGCCATAAAATGAATCACAGAGGCCTTTTATATTTCACGTCGTTGAACCGTTTAACACGAGCGTCACGAAGCGACTGCCTTTCCGTCTGGACATAGACACCAACCGGCGAAAAAAAAACATGTTGGCTGTTATAACGCAATGAGGGGCCGAGGGACACCTCAGTAAATACACCCATGAATCGACACGTGTTGTTCACATCAGGAGACATTCCCATTTGTCATATAACTTTCCGATACATCCTCTGGAATAATCACACGGAAGTAAATGTGAAGAAATGTTTTTTCTGTTTAATAAAAACATTCTGTTGATTCAACAAAAGGATTTTTCCCTAAACATTGGGCAAATTCAAGAGTTTCATATCACTAGTCTTTAATTTTCTCAAGTATGAGATTTTATTCTGCAATTTTTCCATTTTCCGAGTGACTAGATAGTCGAAGTAAGGACGAAATGGTCTTTTTGGATGTTTTTATATGAGTAATGAGAAATAAACTGTGCGCAAATGGGTCTCAATTGAAGAATACGGATTAAATGAATTCGTCAGTCTGATTCTAAACGTAAACAAAATTAAATTGATAACAGAGAGACGCGTTAATCATCATTATTTTCTCTCAATCTGTTTTTATTCACTCGGCAGAACTCTCGAGAACGAATGAAATAAACTCAATTATATTTTCACTCATCCACATTCATTTTTTAATCTTTATTCATTTATGTTAAATTAATTAGGTAATTTACCCACCATTACTGTGTTACATCGTTACTATTTAAATTCTGCATTTTCTGGGTGGAGAATTACAATTTTTAGAAATCAATACATCAATAGAAATGACGTATTTAAATAAAATAAATCGCTTTATTTTATGTTTATCAATTCGTTTCGCCAATACTTTTGTAGAAGGAAACAAACGATTTATTTGATTCGAATGAAGTTTATTTAATTCAAATAATTTCTCTTTACGTAAATTTGAAGGAAAACGAAGTTTGCGAGTTTTCCACGTTTATTTTCTGTTCGTTTGCCGACAGAAAACAGAGATAAAAATATCCAGTGGATTATTGTAAAAAGTTTCTCCCGAAAATTTCACAAGAATGAGCTTCACAGAGAAATGAAAAAAATTTTGTAATGAAAAGTGGAAAATATGTCGGGGAAATGTTTTAATTGAAAGGATATAGTTTGATTGACACTAAATCACTATAAAGATATCAAATATTTATTAAAACTCACTTTGAAAAATTCATACGATTCTGCAGAGACTTCCTTCCATCTACATGTCATTATATCATTTGACAGTGCATCAAATGTAACGAATGAAGTAAAATGTAGTTGAAAAGGCATTTCAAACTTCATTTCGCCAATAGTTTTGTCAAATATTCATAAACTTTACTTTTTTTCCAATGAGATTTTAATTAAATGAAATAAATAATCCATTCATTCCAAACATATTTTCCATTGGAACCCAACAATCAATTTATTTGATTCGAATAAAGTTTATTTAATTGAAATAATGTCTCTTCACGTAAATTTGAAGAAAAACAAAGCGTTGAAGCTTTCTACACCTATTTTCTGTTCGTCTCCCAACAAAAAACAGAAAAAAATATGAAATGAATTCATGTTGAGTTTCGGAAATGAATAAATTATTGTAATGAAAAGTAGAAAATATGTCGTGTAAATTTTTTAATTAAAAGGATACAGTTTGATTGATACAAAATCACTATAAAAATATTAAATATTTATTCAAACTTACTTTCAAAAATTCATACGTTCCTGCAGAGACTTCCTTCCATCTACATGTCATTATATCATTTCACAGTGCATCAAATGTAACGAATGAAGTAAAATGTAGTTGAAAAGTATTTCAAACTTCATTTCGCCAATAGTTTTGTCAAAAATTCATAAACTTTACTTTTTTTCCAATGAGAAGATTTTAATTAAATGAAATAAATAATTCACTCATTCCAAACATATTCTCCATTGGAATCCAACAACCAATTTATTTGATTCGAATAAAGTTTATTTAATTCAATTAATGTCTCTTCACGTAAATTTGATTGATGAAAAACAAAGTGTTCAAGCTTTCTACACCTATTTTCTGCTCGTCTCCGAACAAAAAACAGAAAAAATATGAAATGAATTCATGTTGAGTTATGGAAATGAATAAATTATTGTAATGAAAAGTAGAAAATATGTCGTATAAATTTTTTAATTAAAAGGATATAGTTTGATTGATACAAAATCACTATAAAAATATTAAACATTTATTTAAACTCATTTGGAAAAATTCATACGATCCTGCAGAGACTTTCTTCCATCTACATGTCATCATATCATTTCACAGTACATAAAATATAACGAATGAAGTAATATGTAGTTGAAACTTGGAATGGCAAAACGTGTATAAAATTCACAGCAAATTATATATAGGCATTTCAAACTCCATGACAATCGTCACGCCACTATGACACTAATTAAATATAAACAAAGGTCAATTATTTTCTTTCATTACGGGCAGTGGGTAGATATGTTAAAGACTATCATACCATCGACACTATCACTTGATCGCTCTTATTAGTGTCACTCATGAAGAGATCACTCTCTCCGTAAATGTTTCAATTGTTATACAATTTGTTTTTTCTAAAAAATGTCGATTTTATCAAATATAAATTTTCTCGTTATGTTAATTACAGATTAGAATAGATTTATAGGTATTTTTGGTATGATCTTTCCTGAGTCAGTTAGTTTATTATAATTCAGCAGTGGAATGGTGGAGAACAGGAGATTCGTGGAACATAATTTACATATTATTTTGTAAATATTTGAGGAATTATTGGAAACAACTTTTTTTTAAAGAAAAATCTGACATTTCTTGTAAAGATTTTCATTCTAGAGGAAAGTGAATCGACGATTTTGATTGAAACTAATAATTAATCCATTTTTAATTATGTAATAATTATCAGATCAATTAATTTTTAAAATAATAATTATTGATGAGTAAAATAAATAATCTGGGATATGTAAAAGTTTATCTTGGTTTTAGTATTCAATTAATTATTGAAGCTGCTCTCTTAATGTTAGTGGATTAGATTTTGGGATTAATTTCCTGTGCTTCATCACTTCACTGCAGAATTGATCATCTGGCATATTAATTAATTGCACATTCTGCGCCTGATCACTCTCACATCGAAAATCTTGGTGTCTCCTTTCTAATTATTCTATGGCATTCGAGGGGGGAATTCGGACATGGAACGTGATAATATCATCGACCCTGTATCGTTGTAGGACAAATCTGACTCGATTATTGGATAATGTTAAATTGTATTCTATCACACTCTTGTCGTGAGCAAAATTTGTTGATTACCTCCGGGATCAGTTCATTGTAGGGTATAATTGACGATCATTTCTCTCGTTGTCGTCAGGCATCGTCGTTGTGTCCATGTAAACGTGCTCTGATTTCTTGTCCTTTTTCTCGTCCTCGGACATCCAACCGGGTCTTTTCAATCGGGGATTCTGGAAGAATTGATAGTTCGATTTATCATAGTGAGCGAAGAACTTCATTCGGTTTCCCCAAATGGCGTGAATTGACTTTGATTATAGACAGTATGAAGTGAATTTGACTGTATACCTATATATTACATATTTTTTCGAAACGCAATCGAAGTCGTTTTGGGGTGTTTTAACCAAATTTGCGAAATTTCAAAAAGAAAAATTAAAAAATAAAATAGATCCAGGAGGATGCCCAATTTGTATGACCGCTCAAAATACTTGTTTTGATTATAAGAATTACTGGCAAAAAAAATGAAACAAATCAAAAGTGATATAATTTGCAAAATTCAACTTTTTCAACTTTTTTTTTTTTCTCGAAAATTCGTTATTATGAGCATCTCAAGATCGAAAAAAATTTTTTGCTAAAAATGTTCTTATAGGCAGTAAAAAATGAAAAATTTTGACGCTTAATAAATCAAAATCGGATGGATAGAACTCGAGTTATTGAAAAAAAACGGAAAAACGAGAAAAAAATCATATCTCTAAACTGGGCTGTCGAAAAAATCTAAAAAAAATTTGAGAGATAGTTTTTCAACCCCCCAATCGTAGAAAAAATCGCCATCAATTTCTAAGAGGGTGAGGGTCAACGGTTGACTCATTTGGCATGGAATACCTCATATTTTATACAAATCTTATATAGGAGAGGGTGGGATAAAATGGATACTTTAGACTTTTTTTCAATTACTCACAACTCAGAAACAAATTTATCAATTGAGCTCAGTTTAGGCTTATCACAAAGGGACACAATTGCTCTTTGCATTGAAAAAAAAAATTAAATTTCGTGATTGCGTATAAAGTTTTTCACATTTGTGGTTGGTACTCACTTTGGGATGACTTCGTCCCTTTTGCAGAAACTGAGTGATGGCGATTATTAATAGAACAAGGCCCCCAACAATAGCTATGATTATGCTTGAATATGACCCTATACTAGGTACTAAAAGAAGCATCCGTAGGGATGATGCTAGCTCCTCAGTCGTGCCGGCTCTCATGGAGAACCAAAAGCAGGGGAAATAAATCTTCGGAACGTCTCTAAAAATTCTGAAACGAAAAATCATTTTTAATGAACAAAGAACAGTCAGAGGACGAAAGATTTGGATTATGTGAAAGATTCATCAATTTACAGAGAAATTCATTAGAATCTTTCTCAACCAGTAGATGATTTTAATCCATTTATCATCAGTTATACTTACGAGACAAAGTCAAATGGTTGGAGTAAAATGTTCACTTGGAGTCTAGCTGCAACGTCAATTGGGACTCCAGTATTCTGTAATGAAAGAAATTACATCAGTTTCACAATTAATTTGGAAATAACGAGAATGTTTCATAGAACTATTCTATGCTCAACATAAAAATGATCATCCGTGTTAAACATTCGTAATAAATAATTTATATTTTCACATCCCTAAATGGCGTGTTATGTTGAAGCATCCTAGGCACACGAGAATTTATTGTTTGAAAAAATAATTGAAGAAAGAATTCAATCGGAGATAGACATAATCATAAATTGGAATTATTTGATTCATCTTCACGTATGAAAAAATTCAAGAGAAAACCTAGCGAATTCGCTAGAAAATTCTATTGGAATTCTATTTGTTTTTTGCGCTGACTCTATTGGATATTCGATAAGAAAAAATCAATAAATTTCGGATTTCTGTTTGAATTTTTCTCGTGAGATTTGTTCTATAAGAATGCTTGGGCATCAATTTTCTAAGTTTTTCCCACTGGGATTCTGCAATACAAAACAAACAAAATCCAACGGAAAAAACTTGGAACATTTGTGCCCAATAATTCTGATAGAAAAAATCTAAGAGAAAAATTCAAACAGAAATTCGAAGTCTATTAACTTTTTTGTATTAAATATCCAATAGAATCAGCGCCAAAAACAAATAGAATTTTTAAATAGAATTCCAATAGAAATCCGACAGAAACTCCACAGAATTCCTATAGAATTCCAATAGAATTTTCTAGCGAATTCGCTAGGTTTTCTATTGAATTTGTTCATGCGTGTTCAATCGAAAGTTTAGATTATCAATTGTTTTATTATTTTTTAATTTCGATGATTATATGTGAACCTTAATCAATGTAAGGCTCAAATTCCCTTAATATTGAAGAATCCAATGATTGATGGCCATCCCTGAATTCACTAGATAAATGTATTACACTCATCAATGATAGAATTCATTAGATAAATTCTCAGTGATGAATTTTTTAATTTTTAAATTTATTCTGCGCACTCAACGAGTCAAGTGGCGTTAATTTATATCGCTTTAAAAAATTTATAATGTAATGAATGTTGTAAAAGGTCTACCCAAATAGTTAAACGTACCGGTTCCAAAAGATAATAAAAAGTGTGATCCTTCTCGTTGGGATTGAGCCCTATCACTTGTTCCCTCAGAATAGGATCACCTTTATGAAAATGTGGAAGACTAACGAATCCAGGGGCACCATATCTGCAAGTTGTGATGTTAATGACCCCCATGGGGCTGCACTCGCCATCGCAGTAGCATTGTCCCATATTGACGACATCGGGATCCGAATCGTCGGGGACACTCTTTTTCGTGGAGTGATCAGCGTTGAAGAAGTCCTCAGTAGTCGTGGTTCTCTCGAAATACTTTGCTGTACTGTGAGGGAATCGCCTGAATGAACTGTTCCCGAGACTTTTCTCCCCGAGCTCGTACTTGTACCCTGTGATCCCGTGGTGAGTTGCCTTTCCCACGTATTCGTATGTTATTGGCCTAGAAAGATGATTGAAAATTGAATATTTAGGAAATCATTTATACGCTGTTAGAAAATTACTCCGAAAATCAATATATCCACGCACGAAAAATTTTAATAGAAAAACCTATCGAATTCGTTGAAAGTTCTATTGAATTTCTATTAAATTCTATTGACATGTTCAACAGAAAAAATTCAATAGAAAAAGTTAACAGAATTCGATTTTTCTATATAACTTATTATTTTTGTATATTTTCTATAGAATTTGCCCGGCTCAAATTTTCCAAGTTTTTTAAATTCTATTTTTCTTTTTTTCTCATCAAGAAAATCAATTCTGAAAACGAATAATTAGTGCCAAAAAAAATTTTTTTTATTGTTCGTTTGCCCGAAAACGTTGAAAATGCTAAAAACAGTCCAGGGCCTCCAATTTTTGAGCTACAAAAGATTTTTTTCTTTCAAAATTTTCGGAAAAATGTGTGGAACAACAATTACGAGCTAGTTTTTTTGGAATTCGACTCCTACACAGCTGATTTCGTTTTTTTTTTTCATATTAAAAAAATCACTATTTGCGTAAAAAATACAAAAAAAGCAAATTTAGCCATGTAAGAGGCGAAGAAGGGTCACGAGGTTGAGATTACAGATCACTGGGGTCAGATCAAGGGTTAGAATAAGGGTCACAAGGGTCAGATTAAGGGTCACGAGGGTCAGAATAAGGATGATGGGGGTCATATTAAATTCTATTGATTTGTTTTCTCTTTTTCTGATTTGCAGTGATAATTATCGTATTTAATAGAAAAGATTCTTCCGTATAACTTGTTCTCTTGATTTTTCTTCTCTAAAACCTCTCGGAATTTTTCACGTTCTTTTCCGATGAATTTTTTTCGTTTTTGATGACAATATCCAACAGAAGGAACGCAAATGAGTTGTATAAAAACTCAGAATTTCATTACTTTATTATATAAAAAATGCAATGAACGATATTTTTTGTGCTCACCTGCATAAATCAGCGGTGAAAGTAGTGATTTCATCCATTCCCCTGTTGGGCGGAAAAAATTCACCAGCACTTCCCTCAACTATATTACAAGGGCTCTTGTAATAATCCGTTACGTCTGTATAATTCCACTTTCTTAAAGTCCCAAGATTAGCAATATCATCTTCTCCGGTCGCCACATTGTAATGTCCATCGAAGAACGTGGATCCATTTCTCTGCAAGGCAGGATAGCAGTTGAATCAAGAACAATCAGTATGAAAGTGAAAAAAAACAACGCAATTTTATTTCTGGTTTTCTCGATTAAGAGTGGAAAAAAAAAATGGTGTGACATTACAAACTACAGACCCCCCTCCCCGTCATCATGTGGCGTAGTATTTGAATGTCGCCTTATTTCCGGAAAATTTCTGAGGACGTTTGAGGAAATTTCATGTCAATATGGGAAAAATTTACGTGCTATCGAATAAAATATTCAGTGTCAGTTGAAACTTTTCCGTGCACGGAGAGAAGAGTTGAATAAAAAATATCCAGAAAATCATAGCAAATTTTATTGTACGAAAGATAATTGTGGAGTGAAATGTACATTGAGAAAAAAATTATTTTTGCCAAATATCAATTTACTTGAGAGGAGTATTCATTTTTTCATTACCGTATTTCTCCAGCCGAGTCATTGTCAGGCAATCTCCATTAGGTTTCAATTATGTCAATTATATAGCTCTAGAAGATGATGATGTTAATTATGACCTTGAGAGACTCCTTCAATAATTATCAAGATCAAAAAATTAATCGAAATTCTTCCCTCTAGGAAATGAAAAATTAAAAAAAAATGAATAATCGTTGGAGGAGTTCGTCCAAAGTCATGTGCAACATAATCATCTTCTACAGTAATATGATTGTTATAATTGACACCTAATCAGGATCGCCTGGGAACGACTCGCTTCGAGAAATGCGATTTTGACAGAATAAATACGTCTCTGAAATAAATGAATATTCGACAAAAAAAAATTTTTTCTCAGCGTAATTCAATGAAAAAATACCTGCTTGTGAAGGATATCAGGACGAATGGAAGTGAAATTTTAGCGAACGCATTCGGTAAAAAATCATTCTCCGTTACAGAAAAATTATACGCAATATTGAGCAATCATTCACGTTCACTGGGATAATTTCTAATGAAATGCAGAGTAAATTGGTATTTTTGGTACAAATTACCCCCACGTTCTACATTCAGACCCTCTCTAATTAGAGTGTATTTCAATTAATGATGATACTATGGCATAAAAAAATTGAAGAAGAGAATCGTGAAATAAGAATTTCAAATAAGACAGCACATTCGGAAGCTAATTGCTAATTGATCAACAACAATTACTGTACTCATTTATAAAAAAATGCAATTGGCCACTTGTTTTCACGTTTCAAACCATTCTACATAATTTCCAATGAAAATTAAAAAATGTGAAAATCGGACGTTACAAAGTTTCCCTTTGGAAGCAAAAATGATAAACTTATCAAATAACAAAATCCTCCAACCTCAGATCGCTATTCTAACGCGAATTCTCGTGTCATTCAACACTCAACATTTGCCGCAATTTACCTCTTATCAATACGATCAACGTAATTTCCACCAGAATATTCCAGTCATCGCGATTCTCATGGAAAGATATTACAACATGATTCACTGACATTAAAAGAGTTATACAACCGTCAGCTGAACAGTGAATCGGGTGTAAACGATCGCAAATGTTACAAATCTTAATAAATACACTGAAAAAAAAAAATTACTTTTGTCAAGGAATCATTTTCTTGGGAGAAGAATGTATTTTTTTAGGAGCGCATTTCTCCAAACCAGTTAGTCCCAGGTGGTTCAAGTCCATCTCCAAATATTACAATTATGCTGAATTATGGGATGATTATGCTGTATATGATCTTGAATGAACTCCACTGACAACTATTAACAGTTAGAATTATTACAAAATATTTTACGTAAGAAAATCTCAAATTTGAAAAACCCGAAAAATATTGAAGGTCATATGTAGCATGAAAATCATTCAAGGTCATATGTAGCATGATCATCTCGTAATTGAACATAATTGTAACATTTGGAGATGGACGTGGACCACCTAGGAATTACTGACTGGGAGAAATAAGCTCTTAAAAAAAAAATTCTTCTCCCAAGAAAATGATTCCTTGGCAGAAGTAATTTTTTTTCTCTGCTATAACAGAGAAAATGTATGTTTGTCCATCTTTTATTTAATAACAAAGTTGTAAAACGAGATGAATTATTTGAATTTCAAATGATTGAGAATCCAGAGAGGAATGTTCTAGGCTATCCATTTGCTTCCGAATGATTTTTTTCAGCAGGATTTATTCCAAGTTGAACATCTCGAGAATTTTCGTTTGTCAAGGTGAAATTATTCCCCACTTGAGGAATTATGAAATTTTTACATGACTTTAATCGAACTTACCAAATAAAACCACCCGAATTTGTCATAATTCGGGATTTTCATGTCTTCCTCGTCCATTGCCAATTTTCCCAAATCGATTAGTTGATCATTGAATCCAGTGAACATCATCTCATCGACAGTTTTCACAATGTGAATTGAGGAAATCTCGCTTAGGAGTAGGGAGACTGTACCTTGGAGAGCTTTGTTCCAGTATTTGATTTTGTTAGCAGCTGCCTACAAGACGATGATATCAACATGAATTAAGGGTGCCAAGTGAATTTGGCGATGACCTTGACAATTGACATTCACCAACAAAGTTATAATTTTTCTAATTAATAGTATTAGACAGATGGTGAACATTGGTGACAATTTTAAAATTTTAGAACTTATGGATATCGAGAAATTAAATAAACAAAATCAGTCTTATACACGGCCTCTTATGGAGTTTTGATTAAATTGAACGTTTCAACCCCCTAGGAACTCAAGAAAAATTTGAAAACATTTCAAGATATGGGGAATGATGTGTTCAATGTGATGGCGACAAAAAACAATGGGGTACCCGGGTGAATAAGAGGGATATTTCAACCCGCCGTACCCATTTGATCCCATGCTTTCTCGAGGTTCGTCACGCGAAATAGAGGATTTTCCGCATTTATTTTCTCGATGTCTAGTTCCAGTTGCGGGTTTGAAATTTCGTCGGATGGATGAATACATATTTCTCCAATGATGGAGGGAAAGACAAAATTTTTTTTGAATCTTTTTCCAAATTTACTTGGCACCCTTAAATACAAAATATAAATACTTGAATAAGAATTGCATTTTACAAGTGGCAAAATAATACTTCAGAAAAACAAAAAGATGAATAAAAAAACGGTAATGAAAAGTTTGTCTGAAAAGTCCTCTGATTTGATAAATGTTTGAGGTCTCACTCCTCGATTATGATCTTTTTTGCGATATAAATCTTATGTAACCGTCATATTCCATCTAAATAGCAGTAAAAAGGTCACACAATTCGATATTTCATGACGGCTTCAAAATTTTGTAACTTTTTTTTATGACATTCTATGACACATTTGAAGGTTGACCTTCAAATGATGGCCCATGATTGGCTCAGCAGATGAGTAACAAAAAAATATCATTCGATTGACACGAGTCGTCGCAGCACTTTTTAGTTCATAAATCGCTACCCAGACGAGAAATCTGTGCTCTCTGGGACAAAGCCGGGGGGCTACACTAAGAGAAAAATCTACATAATATCACAAAAATCATTTTCTGTCCTGCTTCTCACGATTTCTCGTCTGGGAATTGGTATTACATCCTTCCCAACCTCGAAAACTTGAAAATCACTACAGAAAAATATTGTTCCGGGGCTGTTGCGATGGGGTTTTTTACTCGTGTGGTGTTGGCCTCCGAGCCGTAGGCGAGGAGTGGCCAACCACACGAGTAAAAAAACCCCATCGCAACAGGCCGGAAAAATACTATTCTTGAACGAAAAACATCGCATACATATTTGATCAATTTATGGTAGGTTTCAGACAAACAATCGGTGCTTTTCGGGCTAAGGAGGAAGTTACTGAATTAAAAGGTGATGTCTTTTTTCGAAATGAGATAATATTCCTTAAAAGACAAGAATAGTTTGACAGAAGGAAAAGAAGATTGCTTGCCTTCGAACTCAATGCGATTGAGCGTAAGTGAGCGTGAGTTTATATTTTGTTAATATCTGGAAGTTTTCCTCTGCATAAACTCTCTACTCATTCAATATCAAAGTCTCTGATTCATGATTCACTGCATCGAAGCTTTTAATATTTTTAGTCATTTTCTCATCTTCCCACACGAAAAAATCGATTTCTTGTGGCAAGAAATTCTCACTTTATCATGAAATGTTCGTGTTCAAGTCATGAACACTTCACCGAAATCTGACATTGTCTGACGCATTATCCAAAATTCTTATCCCAAGAAATTTATCCTCAAGAGATGAGATATTTGACGCAAGAAATTAGTTTTGTGATTTTATGACGATATTTCTCTCAGTGTACTCACTCCCGAAATCACGGCACCACTCTGACATGAAATCATTCCGAAATCACGTGAAATAACCGAAATCACTGAAGTCAAGTGATTTCGGCTCTCCGAAATTATTGTCGAAACCATCTCCGAAATCAATAAAATCACCGAAATTAGTGGCGCACTGACGTAGTGCGAACCGTGCAAATAATTCGTGATTTTGAAATTGACACGCCTGCCAACGATGATAATAAAATGCCGCACTCACTGCCATAGTAAAGTGGTAAAATGGACCGCTTTTCATCATTATTAGCTCAAGATTGGCGGAGTGGAATCAAACGAATTCGTTATTATTTACCAGTTATCATTGTCAGTTTTGATTTTCATAATTTGACACAACCCGTTTCGCTTCCCCTCTAGCATGTATTAACTTTATTTTCCTGAAATCACTGATTTCGAATTATTGAAATCATTCTTAATCATGAAAGGTCTCAAGGTTTTTCTCTACATAAATGTTGTAATCAGTCAATACGAACTTCCCTATTAGGGAAGGGAGGATTCCAGTCTGCTTCAGACTCCAGAAAGATGTTAGCACCCTAATTTTCTAAACCGTCTGCTCCGTAACCATTCAAGGTCGAAGGAAATTACTTACCACAGCGAGAATGTTTAACTGAATTAAAGTATCGTTCAGTTGGCCGTTGCTCTTCTCTGGATCAAAGTACCAGTGCTTCCTCACGAAGTAGCTGACGGTGCTGTTTTCCGGGTGAAACGTTATGTTGACTTTTTCCGTTTTATGACTGCAAAGATAATTAACGAATTATGCTAATGTTAGAGGAAAAGTCAGTGTCATCAACTGGATTTGACCGAGTATGACATTCACTTTAATTTTTGACATTCACTTTAATTCTTTAATTTTTTGTTACTGCTGCGTTCATTGTACATTCCACTATTACGTCTGCTATAAAATTCCTGTATTATATTTCATATTGATAAGATGGTGGTACGCCTCCATGAATCAGATGTGTAATATTAAAAAGTGCCAACGAAAAGACCTAACGGAATGAAAAATAATGTCCAACAATGCAAGATAACGATTGCATTGATTTATAACTCGTTAAGTAATTATCATTACTCAACAGTCTTCAAGCGATGAATAATAATTTGGTGTTTCCTTCTGCCCCATTTTTACGCATTTTGCATGATTCATTTACTGTTATTTTCAATTCTATTTGGTCTGCATAAACTCACTCCAAACACACTGTTGAATTTTTTTCCGAAATTTCCAGTACTTTTTGGAAATTTTGATCGAATTTCATTATCACTGAAATTTCAAAGAATTTCGTCATTGAAAATTCAAAATGCCGTGGAAAAATCAGAGAGAACTGTCAACTTCTGTTCCACTTTTCTCTGAAAATGAATAGAGCACCAGAAAATTTCGGTCAATATATTCTTGAATGTTCAGGACAGTGACACTAAATGCAATTTAGGGGGGGAAAAATCATGAAATGAAAGATTTCACTGAAAATTCAATATAATTTGCCACTGAATATTCATATTAGATTGGAAATTCAAATAACTTCATGATTGTTTTCCCCTAAATCAGTGTCACTCCAGAAAATTATAGTAGTCAACTGTCCACGAAATTTCAATTTTTTTCTAACAGTGCATATTGAAGCATGCAATATAATGAACTGCGCATCGTTATCTCTGGGATCTGAAGTGTTCTTTCTTCTAATCATCAACAATGACATTGACTTGTGAACCTTCAATTTTACTTTTACCATTCGATTAGTGCCACGCCCCCTTGAACCAAATATGTAATACTAAAAAGTGCGGTGCAACAAAACGATTGCATAGATTTATAAATCTTTAAGTAATAACAATTACTTAACAGCCTTCAAGCGATGACTAATGATTCGGTGTCTCCTTCTACCCTATTTTTTACGCATTTTGCATTTTTGGGATGCTTTAGTCAATGTTATATCAAATTCTATTTGTTCTGGATACACTCACTCCAAACATTTAAATGTGATATACAATGGAATGTACATCGTTATCTGTGGACTTTGAAGTTTTCTTTCTTCTAATCACGAATAATGACACTGATTTGTGAATTTTCAATTTTACTTTTCTGTTCGATTACACACCGTACATTCCACTATTACATTTGTAATACAATCGTCGTCTTGTAATTCATATTGATAAGATGGTGTCACGCACTCTTGACGCAGATGTATAATACTAAAAAGTGCCAAATGAAGAAACCAAATAGAAAATAATGTTGCATGCATTACTATCGCGTATATTTAATTTCCCGATCGTCTTTAGGCGATGGCTAATGATTGGGTGTCTCTTTCTGCCCAATTAATAATTTTAATTAATAATTGATCATTTTTCAATTATTTTGCATATTTGTTGGCCGTTATTTTTGACTGGGTTCGGTCCGGATACACTCACTCAAAAAATATTGAGATATGACATACAACAGAATGCCCATCGTTATCTCCTCTGAGATTCACAGGGTTCCTTCTTCTAATCACTGATGGCTAAACTCGAAAGATGAGGAATATTAATCTGTTCGTCAAAGTAAACTCATTTTCCAGTAGAGCATAATCCCTTATTTGAGATCTTGTTATCATTACTAAACCATTGGCTTCCACATTTATCTTACGATAACTTATCATCGTATTCAAATTTCTGTTCAACCGTTGAATTTATACGGTCATACATATACGTATGGCCGTATTATAGCCGAATAATCTATTAGTAACTTATCATTGTAGTCACATTATCTCCGAAACTACTGAAATTATGATAAAGAAAAAATCAGAAGTCCTTTTTTTGTAGATTACCAACTTCTATATGAATGAAGTTCAGAGAAGATCATGAATTCTAAGGGCATTCACAAAATAATCTAGTTTATCTCAACTCATCTTGCTTTGTCATTTCACCTGGTGAATTATCTCACGTGAGCCGGAATACTGCACTCTGATTGGTTAAAATCAGACTTGAGTAAATTATCTAGTGGATTCACTCGGTTTTTCCATGAAATTTTTCGATTCAAAAGAAATTATTTGGAATTGATGAATTACTTAATTCACATGTTTAAAGCATTTTCACTGAATAAAGCACATGATCTTATCAATTTCCATCATAAATACTATAAAAAAGAATGGAAATTTTCAAATAGAGAGCTTTTTGGTGGGCAATCTATTTCGTCAAGATTATAAATAATTGCGTAAACTACTAGCTTCTAGTGCGCGAAGCGCGCCCCTTTCCTAATTTGATACAAATGCGTTATCCACCCGAGTGCAGCTAAACACCTCATTCTCCACTTCCAATCCCACTGTTTCATAATAATGCCTGACACGATGGCAATCGAGACCACCCCATCACCCAAGATTTATCGAATTTCAAGGCCAAATTAATTTCCAAGAAAGCCGAGGTAAATTCTTGTCAAGCGGCGTCTCATCACTCGAGTAGGTCCAATTGTCCCCCGAGAAAGTAATAAGTTCCACAATTATTTAATAGCCGGCTTCATTTGTTCGCCCACGAGTCTGATAATTCAACGAAAGGACAGCAGTCCAACTGATGTATTCATCAAATTGTCAATACCTTGAGGTTAATTTACTGTTACCCTCACGGATAAAGCTATCGTTTGAGCAGCCACAAGTTTACGGTCTTGACCAAGACCACCAGCTGAGATTAAAACGACAAGGTCACAGTGAATAATGATCATATTTCATTCACAACACTCACATGAATGTGTAGGGTCCCACTTCAACGAGATTTGGCTTTTTTCCAGGTGTTTTTAACTCCTCCGGATTTGTCCAGTTGAAGAAGTAAAACTCCATGTTGAGTGGGATTTTGTCACCCGTTGATCTCCACAGATCCAAGACACGTGATGTTGGAGTGATAGGAAGCTCCTGAGACAGTTGTAAAATTGAATATCAGTTTAATGAGAGTGATTTTTATTGACCCAAAATGCAGAAGCGTCATAATAACTTGATGGAGACGTGATCGTGAATGATGATGACTATTGCACATTGGACCTGCTAGATTAGTCCAGTTAACTAATGTAGACGGGTAATTGAATTAGAAAACAGCGGCAAGGAATATTATTGCGGTCAATAGAGTTATCGTGGAGGAAGATTATTTTTGTCCGGTTGATGAGGGAATTAGGTGGGAATCGTGTAGGGGCGTTCGTGAGGCGATGAATATTTCTTGAGAATACATTTCCCTGATGGTTGTTTTTTTTTTCAAAAGATTTTTTTCTTGGCAAACCAATTGGTTAGTTACATTCACATATCTCACTGATTTCATTGATATTTGAAGGATTTTATGAATGATTGTTCTCCTCAAAAGGTTTTCAAGGATGAGTCTAATTTTGGATAAATGATTTTGTAATTATCTGACTTATCAAGAGATCTTCATTAGAAAAATAGTGTGTAAGGTCTCTTACATCCATCTCTCTTGCAAATCTTCAAATTACTAATTCCTTTTTCTTGGACATTTTTGTCACTGATTCTGATAGATAATTTACTGAAGATTCTACACTGAGAGAAAAACGACAAAGTTCTCGAACAAGTCTTACTTGTGTCGAGAAAATAGTTTTTTAAAAATTATCAAAAAAGGATTTTTTGGGCCAAACATGCAGAGAGTGCGTCGGAATGAAAGATTTTTGTCGTAAAAATAGATTTAGTAGTTCAAAAAAAATTGCATTCTCTGTACACGCAAGAAATGTCATTTCTAGCACTACTCCTTCGTTATTCGATACTCCCATACGTATTTTGCTACCGAAAAATCTTTGTTTTATGCGAAACAAGGGATAGTAGTTTTTCATTTCAGCTGTCTAATAATCACAGACAACAAATGAACCCTGAAAAGAAACAATAATAATGATGTGATAGCAATCTTGTAACTTAAGGATAAAATATTTGTTGATAAATTGTCCTCTATATGAGATATTTTCATCCTGAAAAGGCACCGTCTGGTGTGAATTATCCGCCTCTTGAGCCAAATATTTCNATTGCTGTCGAAAGCAGAACAATTATTCATGTTTGAGACTTTCAAATTCGAACCAAACAAATTCTTTTTTGGTAATTTTCAACTAACGATTTTGTTAGCCCAAACAAGACTTGTTTGACGTGTTTGTTTTTCTCTCAGTGTAGTAAGAATGATGAAATCCTGATATATACAACAGATATGAGACAAAGAATAGCTTGCTGATGAAAGAATGAAATGGGAATTATGTAGTCAGCTGGCTTTTATGATGTGGAGCATTTCTTCAAATCGAATAATTATTTTCTCACAAATTTTTCAAAAGATGAAATCAAGATAAAATTATTTTGCAAACACCTAACATATTAAAAGATCTTTATGTGCCAACGTGTAATGAGTCTTGTTTAAACGACATAAAATAGTACAGACCACCACTCGGGCATAAATTTCGTTTTCAACGAATGTTGTATTTTATGAGGCGATGAATATTTGTTCAAACTTAATTTCATGAATTAATTTAAAAAGATGAGCTTAACAATTTTTTATAAAACACTTTTCCATCATCGGAAATATCAAGAAATCTTTATATCAAAACAGTGTGCAAGTTCCTTCGAATTTATCTCTTGTAGTTCTTTATACGGCTAGCTAATTCCATTATCTTGAACATTCTCTCACTCAGGATACTCGCAACAATGATGGAATCGTAATATATACAACAGATACAAAGCAATGTACAGCTTGTTAATGACGAAATGAGATGGGACTCGTGTAAAGAGTAGTCTTCAGAAAAATGATGAACAGTATAGGCGTGCTGGTAACAATAATGCTATCTGAATAAATACAACTGATGCAGTCCATACCTGACTAAGGATATGATGGAAGAGCACTGGCCAGAGGAACATCAGAGCAATCCCAATGAAAAAAAGCGATATTCCGATAACAGCCAGAGTGACTGTCCTATTTGTCCAGGGTCTCATATTGAAAAATATTTATTTATACGATTGATGGATGAACCAATTCACTCAAGCTGCCGGGATTCTCTGCTATTCACACTTTGGCGACCCTCAACGTCGCCGTTCCCTCCTCGCTACTCCGTCTTGTCATCAATGTGCTGGAATACCAAGATAACTGATATCTAATCTAATGAAACAGTAGACGATGCACGTGCTACGAGCATCTTTCAATACATATTTATGGAGCAATGGATTCGGATTTTGATCGGAGAATATTTTATCGTAATCTGGGGGATCAGATTAGATTCGAATGATCGAGTTATGTATGAAGTTTATTTTTTGATCAATGTTGTTGCGAATTTTGGCGGTTTTTCTTGAAATTTGGTGCTGGATTTCTAATGTTTATCTCCTTTCTTGAAATGAATGGTTTCCGTAACAATATAAAAAAGAAATATTAACAATGTTGTGGCATTGTCTTCTCCCTCTGATTATCGGAGATTTATAATTAATTTAGAAATATTATGAGCGAAGATGTATTTATAGAGAAACATTGCTGCTATAAATAGACGAGTTTTTCTCGTTTTCTGTTTATTAATGTTGTTAGGAATCAGGCACGAAAAAATTTAATAGCAACGCTAGCGAATTAGATACAAGATTGTACTATATTTCTATTGAAAATTCTGCTAATTTTTGGCCGATTCTATTGAAGGATTCCGCAGCTTTACTGCACGCTTGGTTTATAGAAAACGTCAGAAAAATTTCATCTTTCTATGCAATTTTTTCAATTGAGACATTTTTCATAGGAATTCCTCAACATGAATTTTCGAAGTTTTTTGCACTCTAGTTTTCTCTCTCTTGATTAAAAATGTCAAACAAAAAAGCTTGGAAATTTTGAGCTGAGTGGTTACTATACATAGAAAATATCTCAATAGAATAAGTTGTATAGAAGAATCGGATTCTGTTGGTTTTTTCTATAGGATATTCTCCATTGGAAATTTATATTGAGAAAAACGCACAGATGAGCTGTGCATTGTTTCATTAGAATTTTATGAAAAATTATTGAAATTTCTTGACGTGATTGTTGGACTATTTCTTGAAATTTATTCTTGAATTTCAAACAACAGCTTATTAATTTAGGAAGATAAAACAGGGGAGGGTGGGGCAAAATAGACTCCCTTATTTTTTCATTTATAAAAATCTTCGAAATTTTAGTGCACCTGTTATGTCTCTTTGCGATAACACCGGAGAGTGGATTCAGACGATTTTAAATTTGAGTTTGACGATTGCACATAATGTTTAAAATAAAAAAATCATTATAATCATTTGAAAATGTGTCCAATTATGGATTTGTTAATTAGATTATTCTGTCATTTTTACGTGCTTTTTAGATGAAAAAAATCCTGCTGTGAGTTGGGAAGGTCGAAAATATGCTTTCCCCAATTTTCGAAATTTCCATTTATCGGAATTTACTTTGGAAATTACAGTTGTTCCTAATCACATTGCTGTTGATTCTCATTGTTTTCCACAGTATTTATCGCGTTTATTTCCACAATAAACGACAAATAGTTGATAAAATTATTATGAAAAAAAGCACAGTCCTCAAACGAATTATTTCCACAAAAAAAGAAGGAAAAGAAAAATTGATATTTTCCAAAGCCTTTCGTAATTTTTACCTGAATCTCCTGTGAAAAATTACGATACCGTCACTTAATTTTTCTGAGTCGATTTCGTAATCGGTTAGCGAACAGTGAATTCCGTAATTTTTACTTCTCTCCGCGTACACTGAGAGAAAATACTAGCTCTGATACCGAACAACAATATGTTCTACGTGGAAAAATTTAATGGAGTAGAACAGATTTACTTGAGGGAAATTAACCAACTTCATAGAAGGAAATTTAATTAAAGAATTCAGACTGTGGGCAGAAAAAAATCTAATCTACTGTACGGCAATCATTTGATCTACGAGAACTCGACAGGTTTATACCACAGAAAGAATACATTGACGAGGGAAGAATACTTTTCTCTCAAAAAGTCATATCAAAACATTTTTCCTTTTTTTATTGCTCAACTCTGTAACAGTGCCGAGTCATGATGATTTAAGATATGAGAATTGTGTGGTTAAACGTTAGAACGTTGAGTAATTATTTATAGAGAATCCTTGGACTTCAATGCTACCCAGTCATTGAAGAAACTTCTTACGACTTTTTCACGGCCTATTGAAGTCTTTGTTGTCATATTCACTGTCATGAACTCCGGAGCTGCAGACGCTAGCCTAATCTCTACAACAAACCTCCACCGATTATTCTATTTATGACAGGGTTTACGGGCGGTATCACCGAGCCAACGGTCAATGTGATGTATTATGTCTTTAAGTATGCAGAGTTGAGATGAGAAAGACTATCTTTAAGTTCACGAATGAAAAATATTTAGAGATTTCGATTTCGTCCGAGAAAAAATTCTGTGAAGTTTTCTCCCTAGGAGTATAGAATTTTTATGGAGAATTTTTCCCATTTAAATTTCAGCCAATGGAATTGCATCATTCGCAGTCACGTGGTACAACCTACATGTCAATCGTAGAGTGAGCTGCCCTTCAGGCTTTTTTTTTTCCGGACGGAGCATTGTGATCGATCAAATTTAGGTTTCGGATTTATTGTGTTAGGGTGAACAGGTCAGTTTCTGGACGGGGGTTAGTTTCTGGACGATTCCACCTCTCCATAATATCACTTGTGTATAATCATGTGATCAATTATTTTTTTCTATTGATCAACATTTAATAAATAAATAAAAATGACCCAGTTGTCCAGAAATTGGGGGTTTCGGCTACATTCAACTATTTCTCAATTTAATTATTCTTTGTTTTATTATTTTCACTTTAAACAATTTTTTTCTCCCAATTAAAACATTCTTGAAGGTGTGGAAAATTTAAGTGCGCGTTAGAACATTTTTTGAATATTGATTTTATTCATCAAATTGATTGATTTTTTTCTCATCACCTACGGGTGTCAAATAATTTTTATTGGATGTTTTTCTAATCATTGAAATAATATTAAAATGCATCTCGCGTTGGTAAACCTGTCGAGTGTTTTCTCTCTCTCCGTTCCATGGTCCAACCCATACCTTTCCCATGATGCTCATCGACATTCGAATCACGCGCCTGCGCGTGAGGACGTAATTGCCCCGAAACTCATAACTTTCCGAATCATTTGTTCAAATAACTTTCTTATGAAATCTGAAAAAAAACTGAGACTTACACGTGTTCTCAAGAAACATTTGATTTATCACCCACTAGTTTTTCCTCAACAGTTCATTAGTTTTTTGGGTGCTATGGAAATTTCCCTAATTGAGAGTGGGGTAACCTCGGAGGTTATAGCTGGAGGGGTTACGAAAACATCCAAATTTCATTATTTTTTTTCTTAAGACTGAGATCTGAAAAAAATGTGTAAGAATTCTCAGTGATGCAGCATACTCAGAAATTTCTCCCGTGAATTTTCTATTTTTTTTTCATTATTTTGGCTTTTCAGCCGAACCGCCTTAAGGTAGTATTTATTGTTGAGTCCGGGGGGGGGGAGGGGAATCACGAAATTGATGATATTTTATACTCAATTCAGGTTTTTTTTTGTGTTTGTATACAAAATTCGGTCGTTACGGATACGGATTGTTATTGGCGGAAAATTTACCCCTCAGAAGACTCGTTGAAAGGAATTTTTTCGAGGAAATTTCGCAAAAAGCAATTGTACGGGGAAATTTTTTTCAAGGAGATTTTGTCCGGGAAAAAACTGTCCGACTACCGCTACAAATCCCACCACTGGGCCTTTGCACCTCGCTTTTTACTACGTATCAGCTCTCTCGCGACCGTTCTAACGACTTTCAAGAAATTGGCTCATCAGGAAGCTCCATGCAAGTTCCCTATTGAATATTCAATCTGGGAGACTGTACTGACAATGAGTAGAAACCCGTGACTGCAGCCTCACCCATAATCATACTCGTGAATGATGACTAACTTCTTCAAAAAGAAATACAAATTCAACTCGTTTCTCTCCTCAACATTCTCTATATTCACACTCAGCAGTAAAAAATCCCTTCCCTCCCATCGCCGAACCCACAATTACGCGGAAAAACAGCATTTTTCACGGGTAAAACTGCAGTCTCACAAATATCCAAATATGAAAATACTAAACGCCCACCGATTTCGTGACGCTGCAAACGTTCACACAAGTACCAGGACGTCGGGTTTCAAACTTCGCCAGGTCAGGGAAAAAGGACTGATAGGAGACACTCTTGTGACAGAAATTTTTTCGTAGATGGAATTTCGTTCAGGATTTCTACCGAATAATGTGTAATTTTTCCCTTTGATCATCACCTACGTACGTTCATTCAATTTGAATAAAACTTTCTATAGTTGCCTTCAGTGTTCGGTATTCGGGTATTCAACTCTAGGACGCTTCGAGCCAAGTACTTTGATAATTTTTTTCCGCTGAAACGTTTTTCTGTGTTTATTGAACATCACAGTTTCCATGCAGACCCTATTCGACCCTAGGTTATCGAAATTTCCTAATCTGTAGTATAGTTTTTTGTTGAAAACACCAAAGCTTCCATTCAATCCCCATTTGAATACGAAGAGAATATAAAATTAACTAGTGGACGATGGCATTTTTTATAAATGAGTGGAGTGATTGTTGCTAATAAATTAGTGATTTGCGTCCGAACGGGTTTTCTGTTTTGAAATTATTTCACTATTGTCTTCTTCTATTTTTTCATGTCATAGTGTTATCATCAATTGAAATGTCATCAAAATTTTGCGTATCATTTCGTTCTGTGAAATAATTCTATAATCTGACCCTCTTAAGGTGTATTATAGGTGTGAAATTAGTGTGTACCCGGGATTGATGATCAATGAATTCATTTTTATCGCGAATCCTGCACAGGATCAATTTTCAACGGATTTAACAGCATTATCTCTTAATTGAAAATCTTCAAATCTAGCTGTAGGTGACACATTGTTTCATTCATTATTCACCGAGACTGAGAAAACATTCACAAAGACCGATCACATCGTACCACTTCGCCACTGACTTGATTTCATTCTGTATTTTTAGCAACAGCTTATGTTCTCACGAAGCGAGATAGAAGAATCATTGACTCATTCGAATTACCCCTG